CAAATGAAGTTCTTAGCGATGCATATTACTAATCAAAAATTAAGTTTTGATATATTTACGGTAGGAGATTTATTAAATATCTTCATGGAACATGATCTTTACTTAATATCCTAATGATTTTTGGCATAAAAGAAAAATGTATAATTTTGACCCATACAATGTATTGTTGGCTATTGCTACAAATATACCCCAGCGACTTAACACTACTTTTGAAGACGAGTACCCAATACGAGGCAGTAGTTTTGATTGAGCTTGAACTTGAATTCAGGGCAGAGAGCAGTAACTGATGCAATGAGAAAAATCTATTGGAGACCCTGATGAAAACAACAGGAACCATCATAGAATTTGTCATTTTTTAATGGTTATATTGGAATTGTATTGGTTTTAATGGAAACTGTACTGGTCCGTGGTAATTTGTTGCCTATATTGGTGGCTTGTTAAAACTACTAAATCCTAATGGAATATGGCCCAAAACACACTACAGGTAATGGCTTTATTTAGGGATGTCCCGATTTTTTGTTCCCCGATCCGAGTCATTGAATATTGAGTATCTGCCGATACCGAGTCCCGATCCGATACTTGTATATCCCTAGTGTTTGGTGTATAATTCAAATACATTAAAGTTATCAAAATCAATCCAATGTATACAGAGTTGTGCAGAGAGTAAAAGTAATATATGTATATATAATTATATGATAAACTCTCTATATAATGTACACACTATATAAGACGTTTTGAGCGTCTTCTATTCGCACACTGCCCCCTACTGCACGACACCGGCGTGACAGCTGATGTAAAATAAGGATCGGGCTGAAGAGAGCCGATACCGATCAGTAAAAGAAAAACACTTGATCGGCCCCCAATCCTTGAGATCAGCTCGGACATCCCTAGTTAACAGCTGGCGATTTGTTTTGTTTTTAATGGTATTTATAGTGGAAACCATCAGAAATTCTGTGATGGCTAAATAATAGTAATTACACTGTCCGGGTGGCTGGTCTCAGACGATCTTGGAGGTGAAGATGCTGGATGTGGAGGTCCTGGGCTGGTGTGGTTACATGTGGTCTGCGGTTGTGAGGCCGGGTGGATGTACTGCCAAATTCTCTAAAACGCCTTTGGAGACGGCTTATGGTAGAGAAATGAACATTAAATTCACGGGCAACAGCTCTGGTGGACATTCCCGCAGTCAGCATGCCAATTGCATGCTCCCTCAAAACTTGCGACATCTGTGGCATTGTGCTGTGTGATAAAACTGCACATTTTAGAGTGGCCTTTTATTGTGGCCAGCCTAAGGCACACCTGTGCAAAAATCATGCTGTCTAATCAGCATCTTGATATGCCACACCTGTGAGGTGGATGGATTATCTCGGAAAAGGAGAAGTGCTCACTAACACAGATTTAGACAGATTTGTGAACAATATTTGAGAGAAATAGGCCTTTTGTGTGCATAGAAAAAGTCTTAGATCTTTGAGTTCAGCTCATGAAAAATGGGGGCAAAAACAAAAGTGTTGCGTTTATAATTTTGTTCAGTATATATTATATAAAAAATATTATGGTATCCTTAAAGACCCCAAGGATGCAAAACGTAAAACAGAAATGAGGTGCATAACAGAGTGCAAATATGCGTGTTAACGATCTGGAGCTAATGAATGGATGAAATTTCCAGCAGATGTTGAGGAGGCTGAAGGATCCTCCACCCACGGGTGATGGTCTAAACTTGGGTTCGGTTTGGCTGTACCGTGCACATTGAATACAAATGAATTAATTCTGTTAAAAATGCAGTGCATTCTCAGAAAAAAAGGTACAAAGCTGTCACTACGGCAGATAAAGTTACAAATATGCACCATTTAGGTACTAATGTGTATCTTTAAGGTATTTATATGCACCATTTAGGGGTTAATAAGGTAGAATAAGGTGGGTACCGTCCCGGTGACAGACTTTGTGCCTTTTTCTAAGAGTGTGAAATGCCGTGCCAAGCTTGGAAAATGATTCCTGGGACTTTAGATTGTTTGCTGTAGGCGACTGTGAGACTGGAGCTGATGGAGTAGCTGAGTGCAGATATTGAGTTCTGGAGTATTTTCATTGGAAAAGCAGTCAAGGGGCATCACAATGCTCTTTTTACTCTACTGACTTCCAATCATATGCATGATAATGCAGGAGACAAGAAACAAGTTCATGTGAATTTTGCTGCTTCCCAAAGTTTGGTAAACTCTTGACCTGCAAATTCGCATCATATGAAGACAGGATTGCAGTAGATTGTATATTTGTACGTTTTGACTGTATTATTGAACTGTGTTTTTATAAATATAAAATAAAGTGGGAGGTTATGAATGCATGGATAGTTGTTTTGGCATCTGTAAAGTTGTGGGAGGAATGAACACGAAGAGTTGAAAGAAAGAGAATGTTACGAGGTGGTTTATTTGGTGAATAAAGATTGAGGAGCCAGATATAACGCCTAACCAAAATACTGTCAACATCACAGCAGAGATCTGAGTGAGAAGATATTAGAGATTTGGGCTGAACTAGCATGATTTCAAAGTTTAATTGTTGAAAATCAGAAGGATTTTTAAAATTAGGAATAGAAGCGGTCCGAGAAATGAACCCTGAGGTACACCTGTGGAAACTAAGGCAGCGTGTGATTGTGTTTGTTAATACAGACAAACTAATGCAGTCACTGATATCGGATGTCAGACTGTAGTCGATAGAAAAGTGAGGGTTAGGGTTAGGTTAGGTTATATACAGTATATTTATATAGCATTTTTCACAATGCATGTTGTCTGAGAGCAGCTTAAGAGAAGATATTCCTTCATGCCTCGAGTGAGCGACACTATGACGACTGTGACAAGGAGAAAAACTCCATGAGATATTTAGGTTCAGATGGAGAAACACCTTGAGATTTAGCTGGAAAGTCAAATGTTCATGCAGGATGTAGTAATGTATTGCTAATAACTATTATGTGTTTATTGAATAAATTAAATGATGTAATATGTAAGACAGTGTTTACATCGTAAGAGTGTGATGGTGAAGATTAATTGAGCTTGAAGTCCTTCCTAGATCCTGCTAGTGTGAGTGGTTTGTATTTTTGTAGCTTAAATATAATCGTGAGTACCTGTGATGCTGTTTGTACCAGACCGGACTAACTGAGATGCACAGTCAAACCAAAAATTATTTCAGACAGCAGATATAATTTTTGATATTTTTTTACTAGTGGGTGCAAGACACTATAGTTCATTTATGTAAGTGAGGATAGCAAAATAAAGTAAACTGTGACAAATTATACCCAAAAATTCTTCATACAGTGGACTACCAGTAAAATTGATACAGATTTGGGACCTAAAATTATCCAGACACTTTCCATGTTTTGCTGAAGTGTTTTTTCTTTAATTGCTAATGCGACCTTTTTACTCCACAGACTGAACAAAATTAAGCATTGCTTGGTAATTAGTTGAGCTAAATTGGTTTTATCTAATTGTGTACTTAAATTTAAGAGCTGACAGCTATTCAACCGAATTCATTACATACCTTTCTATGAACGTTATCTGACATTATCAAGATGAATTTGTTCTCTAACACAGTTTAACAGAGTTCTTCTCATATGTTATTACAATTTTCTAAACTATAGCAAATAAACTGTGATAATGTGAGAAACGTTGAAGGTGTCTGAATAAATTCTGGTTTGACTGTATGTCTGGTGAACAGATCTTTAGTCTCGACTCAAACTGCTGGAGACTCTTGAACATTTCCAGGAAGGCTGTTCCAAAGCTTCCCAATACAATAGTATAATGCATTATGTTCGTATTATCATCAACCAATATGACTCAATATCCAGTCGTGTAGCTGATATCATGCATGACAATCCATTGTACTGATTGAAACATACACAGCATCACTGAAATTAAGCATTTATCACACAATTCAATTAAAAAATACTGGAAATATCATTATTATTTTCATTATTATTCTTTGACAAGGCTATTAGTAGATTTTGTATTAACTTCTGTTAACTGGCCATTCATATGCAGCAGTTGATGATGTGCATATGTACTTAATTATTATAATAATAATATAATATAAAAATGCTGGTTGATATATCAGTTTATCACTAGATGAGACATAACGCAAAATTCAGACAACAGTAGATATTGGAATCTATCCAAAGATTCGAATTAAACTTATGCGCAAAACTGGAATATCGCATAAAACATTTGCGAATAAAGCATTGTTTCCATCCAACGAGTCAAAGAGAACGAAATCGTCACTTCCTGGTAAACTGGCAAGAAATATCACAAAGAAAACTAAGAGAAGCCACTGAATATAATAATTTTCATATATAATTAATGACTTGCGCCTGAGAGCGAGCAGACGAAACACAGTAAATGCTGTCACAGCTTTCGGAGGCGGATGCTGCTGTTTGTGAATGCAGTCGTGTAAAACAATTATACAGAAATACTTTGAAGACAAACTTTGCTCAGGCCTTTCAGAACAACATATAGATGCTGTGAACGAGATCGGTCTGCTGTTAGTCAGGTTATCCCGTCTCATAGCGCAAATCACATTACTTTTTTTTAATGCGCATGGTGGAATTTATTCGGTAAATGAGTTTCCATCGTAGTTTATGCGCATTTTTTCTTATCGGATAAAAAGTTTATCCTACTCAAATGTGCAAATAAGTTTTTATGTGCATTTTTAGAATTTGTGCGCATCTTGGCGTTTCCATTCAGCGTTTTTTTTAATGTGATGCTTCAAAATGTGCATAACAATATGTGGATGGAAACATAGCTAGTAAATGTTCATGATGCTTGGAAAGCAGTAGCAGTAGATTTAGACACGGTTTTGTTAATCAGACGAGCGGGAACAGCTGTGATATGGTCTGATTGACTGGCGTTTCACTGTAAAGACATGGAAGCACACGTATGCACTGCAGTGAGGAATGGTGTTTCTGTGCTGTGTTGTTGATTTGAGTGTTTTCTAGGGATTTTCTGCCCCGTGGATCCGGCATCGTCACTCGCAGACCCCTGGTTCTGCAGCTCATCAGTGCAAACGCAGGTGAATCTCAGATTGTACATTGAGTTAGCTTACCCAGTGCAATTAACATTCAAGAAAAATCAATATCTGAAATTCTGCTAATTCAATCTTGGAGTTCATTAACTCATTACTTCAAATGTTTTACATTTTGCTTATGATCAGTCAGTCTGTCTAACACTGAATCTGCAGAGTGGGCCGAGTTCCTGCACTGCAAAGGGAAGAAGTTCACTGATTTCGATGAGGTCCGTCAGGAGATCGAGGCTGAGACCGACCGCGTCACCGGGGCCAATAAGGGCATTTCCCCCATTCCCATCAACCTGCGGGTTTATTCCCCACACGGTACTGGAAAACACATCACATCACAAACCCTGCCATGTTTTAAACTAAATCTCACTGCTCATGGTGGGGCCTGTTAGACGGTTTCTTCAAAAGCCTTTTGGATGCAAGATCGTGAATGTACATGTAGTCCTGGACCATGTTTTTGTAAAGCTCAACCCCCTGGCCACGGGTCTGAAATTAACATGGGCTTGCACAGTTAAACTAAATCTATTACGGCTGTCGTGAAGAAAGAGAAAATGAAATGGAAAATGAGGATTGCGGCGTTACATTTAGATCTGTTCATTCGGCATCATATTTCTTTTTACGCGTTTACAGCATTGCGCATTATAACCAATCACACACGAGCTGATGAACGCAATGGCCAATCAGAGGCGTTCAGATGAGTTTTGTTGATCAGTGCGCGGGAATTCTGTCTTCATAAACAGCGGAGTGCAGATGTACAAACAGTGCAAGAGATTCGCTCATTATACAGCGTAGACAGCTTCTCTGATTATAACGGGAGTGTTTTTAGTGCTTAAACTCATGCTAGACATAATAATAAAAATAATGATGTGATGTTCTTTGATAATGTAAATGTTCTTTGCTCTCTTTCTGTATATAATTGATTCACTGTTTGAATAACTAGAAATAAAACATTATAATTAGTAACCTAAAGAGTTTTTTTTTTTACTGTGATCACGTCTAATACAAATTCAGTCGTATTAAAATTGTCTTACCCATATCTGGTACATGTCTAAACAGACGGGTTTATGGTGTGCGTGTAATTAATAGATTACACAATCATTAGACTGCTTTTAGCCTTACCCTGGAGTTGGTTCACTCTCTGCCTGTGATCTTTATTCTCTTTTCTGTCCTCTTGACTCTGTGCAGTGCTGAATCTGACCCTCATCGACCTGCCGGGCATCACTAAAGTGCCGGTGGGAGATCAGCCGGCTGACATCGAGCATCAGATCCGAGACATGATCATGCAGTTCATCTGCCGCGAGAGCTGCCTGATCCTGGCTGTCACTCCGGCTAACACTGACCTGGCCAACTCTGACGCGCTCAAACTGGCCAAAGACGTCGACCCTCAGGGTGAGTGACCTCCTGACCTTCCTGCTGACCTCCTGACCTCCAAGAGCCTCAGAGCAGAGCTGGTGCTTTACAAAATTACACATCAGTTCCTCATGAGAATAAGATGAAGGTTTATTGCGTGGCTTTTGGAGCCGTGGTTTCGTGGTAAGACACGAGGCAGGTTCGAGTACTGGTTGTTCATGTGACCGGCAGGTTCTTCCAGTGGTGTTTTGTGTATGCTGAAGAGCACTTGTGTTACAGGCCAGAGGACCATCGGTGTGATCACTAAACTCGACCTGATGGATGAAGGAACAGACGCACGAGACGTTCTGGAGAACAAGCTCCTGCCTCTGCGCCGCGGTGAGAAACCTTCGCTCCTGTCAATGCCTTTCAGACGCTTTCCAGTTAGACGTTTGTAGCTCATTTAATTAGGGATGTCACGTAATTATTTATTTTTTTAATTGCATGATGTGCTGATTGATTAGTTACAATTGAATCCCACATCAATGAGAAATTTCCCCCCAAACGATAATTTAATGTCATTATTGTGCTGAATGAGAAAAGCGTTTAATAGACTTCAGGAAAGAATAGCTTTATAAAGAAATATTTCAGTTCAGCATTGCAGAGAGAATGAAAATAAATGGGTATTTTTTTAACGAATATTGAAATCTGAAATGATTTTAAAGAAGTGAAATGATATTTTGAATATCAGACTAAAAGTGCCAGAAGGTGGTGGCCAGTCAATGTCTGAATGAGTGAGTCACTGAATCGTTCACTCAACTGATTCGTTCAAGTGCCTGACTCGTTCGGTAACGAATCACCGCTGTGTGTTGATCAGAGACGCTCAACAGTTCTGCTGTGACTTTGATTGGAACTATTTTCATTTGAGATACTGAGCAAAAACAGACAAGATTGTCTCTAAAATGTAACACAATATGAACTTCTTGTTTATTGAGCTGTTGTATAAATCAGTATTCACATTGTGGTGTGGATATTGGGGAAGAGCAGCACTCTTGCTCATGTGATATTGCTAAACTGTATCATATGATATAAATATAAGAGGGTGGTTATTTTTGCCCTCATATCATGAATGTTAGGCTCATATAACAGCATTCTGATAGACTCAGATGTCAGACAGGTCTGAACGGGGCACTAGGTGTTTGAATCATTTAAATGTGTTATTTTTTGCTATAATAAATCTCACCAAATTAATGCATTAAATTGACAGCCCTAGTTTTAATATCCCAAAATATTGAAGGACGGAAACTGTCTGCGGGCATCTGATTCACTGTCCAGTTTAGTCAGGTCCAGATCAGTGTTGGGTCAGTTACTCTAAAAGAGTAATTAATTACTAGTTACTAATTACATCTTCAACAGTGTAATTAGATTACTGTACAAATCAAAAAGTATTTAATTACTAATTACTTTCTAAATCCTATTATCAACCTCGACAAGTTAATGATGCAAAGATAGACATGAAACGGTTCTTTTAATTATTTTAAGTAACTACATCAATTATTCTGGACACACTTTAGATTAGAGTCCACTTCTCATTATTAACTAACTATTAGCTATGACTTTTGCCTCAATATACTCCTAATTACTGCTTATTAATACTTAGTAAAGCAGTTGTTAAGTTTATGTTTTGGGTAGGATTAAGGATTTAGAATAAGGTCCTGCAGAATAAGACATTAATATGTGTTTTTTAAGTAATAATAAACAGCCAATATCCCAGTAATATTCATGCTAAGTTAATAGTGAGAATTGGACACTAAAGTGTTACCAATATTCTTATTAACTCACCAAAGTATTTAAAGCGAGAAGGGTACATAAAAGCATGCATTTTAAGGTTAGACTTTACATTTTGATGTTAAATCCACTGTTGTATTGTGTATAAATGTTCTACAGTCTATATACAGTATTAAGTTCAATTACATAAGAAGTAACTGTAATTAAATGACAGAAAAAATAAGAGTAATCCCTTACTTTACCTTTTCAAGGGATACAGTAACTAATTACCCCGTGAGGTTTTCGAGTTATTGTGTTCAAGCGCGCCTCGGTCGATGGATAGCTGCTGAGCATCTCTAGAGCCGTGCGGTTGAGCTTTAGCTCTGCAGGCCCAGTGAAGCACACCGGGTCACGGGAAAAACCCCTTTCAGTGTCCGCAGTGAATGTTTGATCACTCAGGGTACATCGGCGTGGTGAACCGCAGTCAGAAAGACATCGACGGGAAGAAGGACATCAGAGCGGCTCTGGCGGCAGAGAGGAAGTTCTTTCTGTCTCATCCGGCCTACAGACACATCGCAGACAGCATGGGCACCCCACACCTGCAGAAGGTCCTCAATCAGGTACTGTGCCCAGTCAGATCCTCACTGGAGACGCTCCTGACCGCATGTGCATTTAACGGAGCGGCTGCATCTGTGTTTCTACAGCAACTGACCAACCACATCCGGGACACGCTGCCTGCCTTCCGCAGTAAACTGCAGTCGCAGCTGCTGTCTCTGGACCGAGAGGCGGAGGAGTACCGGCAGTACCGGCCCGACGACCCGTCACGCAAGACCAAAGCCCTGCTGCAGTCAGTGCCGCTAGCACCAGAAGCCTTCAGTCACACAAACACAGCACTGTGTTCAGTCTGAGTCTATTATGTTATTATATGTGATATTATGTACACAAAAACATTTATTTTGGATGTGATTAATCGTTTCACAGCACTCCATCAGGAGTCTCTTCAGACAGAGCAAACACATCACACACATATCTACAGTATGTGTGAGAGATTATGATTACTTATGATTAGTTCAGTCTCACATTTGCTATTCAGATACACTGTCCAAATGTAGCGGACTAGATCAGGACTGGTTTATATCATGTATGACTGGACTGAGAGTCTGTGCGTCTGCAGGATGGTGCAGCAGTTCTCGGTGGACTTCGAGAAGCGTATCGAAGGCTCTGGTGATCAGGTGGACACTGTGGAGCTGTCTGGAGGAGCCAAGATCAACCGCATCTTCCACGAGCGCTTCCCCTTCGAGCTGGTCAAGGCAAGTGAGCCGGACACTGAGACTGTGCTCTGTTCTCACGGCTCCGTCCTAACCGTCCTGTGTTTCTGACCCGTCTGTGTGACAGATGGAGTGCGATGAGAAGGAGATGCGGCGGGAAATCAGCTACGCTATCAAGAACATCCATGGCATCAGGTGAGGCTTGCTTCAGTGTCCTCGCGCTCGCTGCGGGATCAGATCTGTGGGTTTAGGGTCCGGTGTGTGTTTAAGTCAGCGCTGAAGATGACCGTGTTTCTTCTGCAGGACGGGTCTGTTCACTCCAGACATGGCCTTCGAGGCGATCGTGAAGAAGCAGGTGGTGAAGATCAAGGAGCCGTGTATTAAGTGTATTGATCTGGTGGTTCAGGAGCTGATCAACACGGTGCGTCAGTGCTCTGATAAGGTGCGTCGCTCTCTGTTCAACACTAACACCACTGCAGAACTCAGAACTCAGCAGGGGTGGGCCATATGGCAAACATATCATATCACGGTTTTATCACGATTCTGTCATGTTGGTTTTACTATTTAGCAATTAGTCTGAGAATACAGCCAAACTAATTTCCCTTTTTTAAAAACAAAGCAAAGGTAACAAAATATAAAATAAAATATAAAAGAATGGCAGACATTTAGGCCAAAGTCGACGAGGATAAAAACCATTGTCACCGTTTTATCTTTGTTATTAAAAAATAAGAACAAAGATACATGTTACAAATACACATAATACACAAATGAAACAAACAGTAGGCTACAGTAGATGTATTTAGCAGTAGCATTTAAGAAATTAACGAATTAACAAATATAAAAGTACAACACAATACACATAAATTAAACATCGATTCTTATTAAAGCACCTGTATTACAGTTCTTCAGTCAAGAGCAGCGAGTGGTTTATCAGTTTGACAGCACATGTGCAGCACGTACTCACAGCACTAACAAATACAGAAACCAGCAAATACAGACCACAACTAAATGAAAATTATCCCTATGGTTAGTGTATTAAATCCATGGTTAATTTGTGCATGGTTATGGTTTAATTATGGTAAGCATTGTTAGTTTTTATTTATTTATTATATAATGTATTTATAAATTTATTAATTAATTTTAATACCATAGGCTATGGTTGATATTTGTAAGGGAAGTTGTAAAAGCAAGTTAGCCAGCTTACATAACCTATCACAGTTACAGTAACAGATTATTATAGCCAAAAAAAGAGAGAGAATCTCACCTTTCAGAGCCAACATTGATAAATATGGCATCCTAATTATCATAAAAATAACATTGCACATTTTCCACAAAAATCTAGAAATGTTCAAGTCCACAAAATCAGTCATTTTGATCACAAAAAAAAAAAAATCACAAGAAAATCATGAAATCTTGGTTGGACTGATAAATGCCATTCATTAGGTCTCTGTGTGTCTCAAATGCTGCAGGCCTCACATTTATTCATCTTTCTTCATTATTGCTCAGTGACGTTTAGCTGATTTTCACAGATGTTCCAGCAGAGGTAGCACATGTGTACTTCATCACTTTAGGAAAACACTGTCGTTATTAGTACCTTTATTTTCAGCGGTGTGTCTCTGTGAGTTTAGGAGGTGGACTCTCAGACCCAAATCCATCAGATGGCCTGCTCTGAGTGGAGCGGCTCAGTTTGAAAGCACTGCCTATCACATCAGCAGTCCATAGTATTAGCATAGCATGCACTAGTCATATTCTCTTCTGAGTAATGATTTTCTGGAGCAGTGTTTTTAAAGCAAGCCACCGCACTAGTTCAGTAAGACCACTGCAGTGTAGTTTATTAGGCTTTAATGCAGCCGCTGAGCTAAAGCTGTGGGTCAGGCTTCTGATCTTGTGTTTTCTACACGCTCAGCTGGATTCGTTCCCTTGTCTGCGGGAGGAGACGGAGCGGATCGTCACGTCTCATATCCGTGACAGAGAGAGCAAAGCCAAAGAGCAGGTGCGACACACCTGGATGTGTGTGTGTGTGTGTGTGTGCGTGTGCGTGCGCGTGCGTGCGTGCGTGCGTGTGTGTGTGCAGGTGGATAACGAGATTACGGCTCTGTAACGAGATTACGGCTCTGCAGCGTCTGTGTCTGTGTCTCTGCAGGTGCTGCTGCTCATCGATGTTCAGCTCGCGTACATCAACACCAACCACGAGGATTTCATCGGCTTCGCCAAGTATGTGCAGATCTTTGCCTGAGCACGAGGCTGTGCCACGGTTAACATTGTTAATCTAATTAATTACATGATGTGCCGAATAATTAATCAAATTAATAATAGCACATCTATTTGGCTGAGAAATACCCCCAAAAAACATTACAAAGAATAGATTTAGAAAGAAATATTTTGATTCAAGAATGCATAAATACTGATAATAAATGGGTATTAATATTTTTTTTTATTGAATATTGAAATATTAATATATAAATTTGAAACTAAAAGTGCCAGTAGGAGGCAGCAAATAATGATTGAGTCGTTGAATCAATCACTCAACCAGTTAGTTCAGAGAGCTGATTCATTGAAAAATGAAGCAAGTGACTGTCTTTATGAATGATTCACTGAATCATTGACTCACTTGATTCATTCAGTGACGAATCACTGATGTGTGTTGATCAGAGATGCTCAACAGTTCTTCTGTTGGTTTGATTGGAACTATTTTCATTTGTGAAATTGAGCAAAAACACAATATTGTGTCTAAAATGTAACACAAATGTTTATTGAAATATTGTATAAAATCAGTATCATATTTTCAGTGGTGCAGATATTAAAGGGGTCATGAACTGCCTTTGTTTTTTATGTTGTACTGTTCTCTGAGGTCCACTTATAATGTTATCTAGATTTTTACATCAAAAGCATCATAATTTAGATGTAATAGGCTGTTTTCTAAACGAATCCACGGTAAAATGAAGTGAACAAAGGACCGAGTTCTCACTGACGTGGTCTGGATCTTCAATAAAAATTCACTCTATCCTAAAGCTGGGGTCAGAAGAAAGGCAATGCAGACCTGGGTTTTCTCTCGTAAACAATACATGTGCGAATCGGTGGGCGGGGCTAAACAGGTAGTGATGTTGGATCGGTGGGCGGGGCTAAACAGGCATCGATGTAGAATCAGGGATCGGTGGGCGGGACTAAACAGGTAGCGATGTAGGATCGGTGGGCGGGGCTAAACAGGTAGCGATGTAGGGTCGGTGGGCGGGGCTAAACAGAGTGATGTAGGATCGGTGGGCGGGGCTAAACAGGCAGCGATGTAGAATAGGTGGGCGGGGCTAAACAGACAGTGATGTAGAAGCAGGCGTTGATCTTTTTCTGCGGAGGAGGTGTTTATCCGCACTATTACATCATAGAGTGGAACATTCCAAAAGCTGTTGTTTTGGCAGACTGCCTTCAATATAAGCTGTTTTTAGACTAATGAGTTCTGAAACTTTATAGTACAATGACCTGTTTTATGTCAAAATATCAAGGGAATTTTGGTTTCTCAGTTCATAGCCCCTTTAAGGAAAAGCAGCACTCTTGCTGGTGTGATATTGCTATATACTATATCATATGATATAAATATAAGAGGGTGATTTTTTTTTTAAATTCATATCTTGAATTTTAGGCTCATATAACTGCATTCTAATAGACTCCATCACACAGTTAGTCATTCCTGTCTCACTGTCATATTCACCAGTGCTTTCTCTCTCTTTCTCTCACACACACACACACACACACACTCTCTCTGTCTCTCAGTGCTCAGCAGCGCAGCAGTCAGGCGAATAAGAAGAGCTCTGCAGGGAATCAGGTCAGTGTGCTGGTGTTTGTGAAGGCCGTCTATGTTGATGGCACTCCAGACATCGATGCTCTTTATTGCTTTGTTGTCATTTTACATGGCTTTGACTTTCTTTCTGCTCTGCTTTTACTGCCCTCACTTTATTACTCAGTAGTTCTTGTGTTTGTCAGGATGTCCATGTGTTATGGACATGTTGAGTGTTTCTGTTCTCACACACGTGTGTCATGTTCTCTTCACTATCCTCCCGTGTGCGCGAGCGGCTCCTGCGTGATGTGCTGTTGTGTTTGGCTCAGGAGCTCCAGGTAAGAGCATCTCATGTCCCCCGTGTCTCCATCACTCCTGTCTCATCAGAGCGAGATTGTCTCTGTCTCAGCACACACTGACGACAGATAGAAACTCCTCTGTTCATGCATCCAAACAGCAGAACGTGTCAGACATTACAGAACCTTTACTTCACTAAAAGCATTCATGTTTCCTCATTGCTTTATGTAACGTGATATGTTCCCTTTGCGTAATTTTTCTGATTTCCAAGGCTCTTTCTCTAGCAGAACGGTGTACAGGTCATGTTTTTTACTGTGCACAAGCGTAGTTTGCATACATTGACGTCACAGCAGCTGTGAACCTCTTCATTCATTCAAATTATTCAGTGTTTTAGAGTTTTGTTACTCTTATTGGACTCATTCAGGAGGATGTCAGACACAAGTTTAATTTGTTATTAGAAGCGTTTACTGTCAGAGATGAAATCCTGCAGCATGTAGTGATCAGTCTGGTTGTTTTATTGACTGCAGAAGCTCGTCTGACAGGTCTAGGATCAGTGTGGTGACGTGGTGCACTGATGAGAGAGGAGCGTTTGGTGAAGACTGGGCTTTAATGAAGGAGATCTGTGTGTGTGTGTGTGTGTGTGTGTGAGAGAGAGAGAGAGCGTGTGTGTGTGTGTGTGTGTGTGTGTGCGCGCGTGAGTGAGTGTGTGTGTGTGTGTGTGTGTGAGAGAGAGAGAGAGCGTGTGTGTGTGTGTGTGTGTGTGTGTGAGAGAGAGAGAGAGCGTGTGTGTGTGTGTGTGTGTGTGTGTGTCTTCAGGCCTCGTCTCCTCCAGCGTCTGGCATCATTGTAAGACGTCAGGCTGATGTGTGTAGCTGAATGCACTGGTGTGATGATGGAGCAGGAGAGATGTAGCTGTGTTCACTGCATGAACCAGAGGACAGTTTCTTCAGATCTGTGTGTCTTTTTCACACTGCATTCAGGAAGGCTTCAAACCCTTTCACTCTTACACATTTTGCTATCTTTATTCTATAATACTCTTATTCTTTACACCTCTACACTCCATACCACATGATGACAAAGCAAAATATATTATTATTTCATATTTCAGTTTTTCTCTTGAATAGATTTGCTAAGTCATAACAGATCTGTCATTATGTGGTACTGAGTGATGGATGAAGGGTGTGAATACTTGTTTGATGGCAAACACAGAGCACTGTCTGTATGTAATGTCTCACACCAGAGACTCAGATGGATGCATGATCACGCATGCTGGACACTGGACTTTTTTACACCTGTTATTAATAACTGCTATATTAATACTATATTAATGTTTATTAGTCCATAATAAATAAATTACTTTCAGTAATGGTAAAACAGACAGTTGCAATCCTGGCTGCTGATTGGTGGATACAGTGTTCCATTTGATTTCAGCCGTAGAGTAACAGCTTTGAGCTTTTTATCCAATCACAGCGCAGCTCCATCATTATTAATGTTGCTTCCTGTTTTGAGTGGAAGCAGAAACGCGCTGTTTTCGTGCCTGTCTCTTTAAATGCAAATGAGCTGCTGCTCTCCGCCCCCTTTTCCAGAACAGAGCTGTGAACTAAGTTCACTTTCATGTCTTATTGCGCTTAAACTGTCAAATACACACAGGATTATGTTTAAAACACACATGAGTTACAAAAACAGTGGGTTATGTCTGTGAAGGTAAACAGCTGGGAAATAAATCGCATGTTTATTTTAGATCTGTGTGGTAGCAGCAATATACAGTAAATAAATCAATAAATGCACTGCTCTCTTGTCTCCTCTGAGGCTGGGACTCTAAACAGTGTTCTGTGCTCGTCTGTGCAGCCAAACACAGAACAGTTAGCTTGCTTTGCTCAAACTTTCGTCATGGCGTTAGAGCTGCTACACCGCTGTCGCTTGCAAAAACACAATGGAGGCGCTGTGGGTGTAAACGTACAGATTAAGGGGCGGTAATATTATAATAAGATCCCTTTCTATGTCACTAGGGGAGTGAAATCTGACGCGCTCGTTTTTTCACAAGCTTGCAGAGAAAGGCTTACAAAATAAAGTTACTGGGTTGTTCTTTTTCACGTGTCCTGGGTTGGTAGATGCACCGGGGATCCAATTATAGCACTTATTAAACACAGAAAAATTATGCTTTTCATGATACGTCATTAATTAACATTTTATCATTAGTATTTATAATATGCATTATACAGCCGTTAGTTTAGGTGTCGATCTGAGCTCGTCTAATAGTGCTGATGTAACAGATGCAGCAGATCTGAGTGGTTTCACTGCACTCGTCTGTGTTTGTTCAGACAGACTGTGTGTTAGTAAAGGGTTTACACTGACTGCAGTTACTCAGGTACACCTGTAGCCTCTCCCCCGTCACTGCTGCATGAAGTGTCCAGCAAAGCCACTAGAAGCCACCTTTAGCCAAAACAGCGTAACGGCTAATGTTAACGGAAAGGAGACCAGATGCCGTTTTTTTGAATGGATGTCAATGGAGAAGAGGCTTCACTTTGCTGAATAAACAGCTTTTTAGAGGAAACAGCTCATCATTTAATGAATCGACAGCCTATCTGCTAATGTTTTACACTAAGCAATACTTTTGGATTGAACTATTTTTAGAGTTTACCACGAAAAAAAATGCCGTTTTATAAGAGAAGTCACTGACTTTTGCGACAGCTGGGATTCAGTTTACGGCACTCCTCCTTCATTCCTATGGGATCCGTAAACGACGACTGAGTGTCACACAACTCTGACTGAAATTCAGTGACGCAAGGCTGTGATTGGTTAAGTTAGCCGTTACGCTTTCTCCAATAGTAAGTAATACAGACCCTCTCCTCTCTCTGGTGTCCAACATTCCACACTTTGTTTCTTTGCTTGTTAAAGTGCATCATCCGGGTATTTAAAGTGCACTTTCTCTTTGTGTAATGTTCAGTGTGAACACACTACTCACACTATTTATACTACAACACATCACGGAGTAGTGCATGAGTGCGTGATTTGGGATGCAGCCACTGTCTCACACTGTTGATTTCTCACGTCATTCATCCACATTCGTCCGTGTGTCCTGCACTGTGCTTCTGATGGAAGTGTGTGTTTGTGTGTGACGCGTCTGGCTTTCTCCGTCAGGTGATCCGTAAGGGCTGGCTGACCATCAATAACATCAGCATCATGAAGGGAGGAGCGAAGGAGTACTGGTTCGTGCTGACCGCCGAGAGCCTGTCCTGGTTCAAAGATGACGAGGTGAGATGAATAACAGACAATGACTGGAGAGAGAAGAGAGTGTTCCTGTTCCTTTGTGTGCTGTTTTATCATACTATATTAGCTGCAGAAGTCAGTTATTCAGGCATAAACCAGAAAGTGTGTCTGAAATCAGTGATTCAATGGTTCAAAACAGATGATTCGGTGCTCAGATGTACAGATCTGTCTTTGTTTAGATTGGATTGACAAACTATTGCAAGTTCTTTAAATGTCATGACAGATTTCTCTCAGCCAATGCAAACCAGCTACACTCTCACTGCACAAACATATATCCGCTTTTACTATTGTGAAGCAATAAAGCTTGTTGCATTTCTGAATTGTTTAAATTACACGCTCATGTTTCGGAGCTGTTTCAGTCTTTGGTCAATGCAGAATGCAATCCATCGACGCGTCGTTTAATCATGAACAGAATGTGTGTGAGAAGACTGTGATGACATCTTGATGAACCTGTTGAGCTCATTCAGATCCAGTTCTGCTGCTGACCCGTGTCTTTATCTGGATCCCGCAGGAGAAAGAGAAGAAGTACATGCTGCCCCTGGACAATCTGAAGGTCAGAGATGTGGAGAAAAGCTTCATGTCCAGCAAGCACATGTTTGCCATCTTCAACACGGAGCAGCGGTAAATGACAGATCTCTCTCTGCTGGTTTGCATGCAGTCATTTCTATGAGGATAGCACAGCTGTAACAGCACAGAGGAGTCAGGGCTAGTCTTAGTTTTCACTCGTGGAGTTTTCCGAGATCCTGCGATGCTCTGCTGTCTGTGATGTTTCTGACGGAGGAGTGACGCTGGTTTTCTCTCAGTAACGTGTTCAAGGACAACCGTTTCTTGGAGCTGGCGTGTGACACTCTGGAGGAGGTGGAGAGCTGGAGAGCGTCGCTGCTGCGCGCCGGCGTTTATCCCGAGAGGGCCGCGGTCAGTGATCAATACCTCACGTCTTTATCAATCACCAGAAGCCTCATGTCAAGCTTAAACTGCTTTTTAAGTTTTTTTTTTTTTTACGTTTTTAATTTCAGGGTTCGTACAAGGTGCTTAAAGGGCTTGAATTTGACTTTTTTAAATTTAATTCCTTGAAAAGAGCCATATTTATGAAAAGGTACTTGAAAAGTACTTGGATGTTTAAAAGGCAGTATATATGAAATTGGTGTTAATTTTTGTTTTCGATACAAACAGTCTGTTCTCGCTAAATTAACGATGCAGCTCGTCTGATATAAATACAGAGCCGTTTCGCCTGGCTTTAGCAGCGCACGAGATCTCGCGATATCAGGATAAAGTTGATTTTGGGGTATAATCTTTGATAGTGTTTGCATTATATTGTTCGGTCTTTTATTGCATGTGCTGTTTATATGCGATTTGTTGTACATCGCAATTTAGAAATAAAAGTTCAAACCCTCGCTCTGAGTTTGCATGCGGCCAAATATTAAAATTAAATGGATTTAAACATCATTGAATCTCGCTGTAAAGTGAAGCATCACCAGGCCGCTGGCGCCCTCTGCAGGTTTTTGTTATAATACATAATGTACTTGTTATGTTCATGTTATGTATAGGCATATTACATTATATATTTTAACAGTGTTGTTCAATAAAACCATGTGATTACTTGGTTTTGATACTTTATTTGAACCAATTATTATTGTCTCATCGTTAGTGTAATAAATGTAGTCAAACGAAAGCCTGTTTTTTCACTTAGGTCTATTTTTATTACTAAAAAATATCAGATTACTGAATTGTCAAAATAATCAGTTACTTGATTACCAAAATAATCGTTAGTTACGGCTGTAGATTAGTTAAATGTTTCAAAATACAACTACATTGTTTTGCTTTTTGTGATTAAAAGACAAATATTTTGTCATTGAACATTTCTTAAAAATGGTATTAAGATATTGTCTCGTTCTAGTGAACCAAGTATTGTCACACCCCTGGCGTCTACGAGCGTGATATAGCTCATAACTTTCCAAGTGTATGATTAAGCTTTTACTCTTCAGGTCAATCATATATTCATAAAAAATAAAAAATCACTTTGAATAAGGAGAGCGATAACTTTGCCATAGTATCCTTTCAGGTTGCCACAGCCATTGCATGCTGTTTTATGACAATTTTATTAGTTTATTTATTAGAATTTGAAAGATTATAACAATATTGTGATCTCTGATTTTAGTCCGTGAAAGTCCTGGAATTTCATTTTGCAGTTTCTGTACGAACCCTGGAATTTTTTGTATTTAAAAATTGAATTGAGTTTGATGAGAAATAAAAGCAAAAGCTTAAGGTTTTTTTTTTTTTATTTGTGTACCATCATCAGTCTTCACAAATATTCACGATCACCGCTCTAAACTGACGGTGATTAACCTCATTATTCCGTCTCTGTACGTAGATACATTTGCATAGATGGACGAACATAATCACCTGATTTTGTAAATGTGACCAATTACATTTGCATTAAGTTTGTGCTGGTCTATAAATTACATTTACAAAGCAAGCCTACAATAGTGGAAATCAGCTGTTTTTAGTGAAAGTAGGTCCCTGATTAATGAAATGATTGAGAAAACATATTTTATTGTTGTTCAGTTTAGTTTGATTAGTTTCATACATATTATTTCTATATACAGTATTTTGTATGAGTCATCTCAAGCTTTACGGGGTTTACATGATTCTTTGATTGCAGTGTGGTTATAGTGAAGTGTACTCAAAACAGACATTTAAATGAACCCCCAACCTAATAAGTTTATGCAGAAAGAAATGAATTCATTCATCAACTCTAGGCGAGACACAACGTTCTTCTCACCATAATTTCTACCGAGGAGGACAAACTCAAGCAACCCCTCCGTATCACTTACACGAGATTAACTCTGAAACATGAGCCCTGTTCCTCGCGGCTGAGCTTTCTCTTTCTCTCAGGTGGAGAGTGAGAGTTCTGGTCCGTCGGAGAACTTCTCCATGGATCCTCAGCTGGAGAGGAAGGTGGAGACCATCAGGAACCTGGTGGACTCCTACATGGCCATCGTCAACAAATGCATCCGCGACCTCATGCCCAAGAGCATCATGCATCTGATGATCAATAACGTAAGGATGCTGTGTGACCGCTTGACCTTTGACATCAGATAGGAACAACGGAAAGCTTATTTATTCAGCTCAAACACGTTGACCCTTATGAGTGGTTTTGTGGTCCAGGGTCACGTATGAGCTAATTATCATCACGCTGCTGCTCCGCAGGTGAAGGAGTTCATTAACGCGGAGCTCCTGGCGCAGCTGTACTCGGCTGGAGATCAGAACGCTCTGATGGACGAGTCTCAGGAGCAGGTGCAGCGGCGCGAGGAGGTTCTGCGCACACACCACGCTCTGAAAGAAGCTCTGGCCATCACCGGAGACATCTCCACCACCACCATCTCCACACCGCTGCCTCCGCCGGTGGATAACTCCTGGCTGAGCGCCGGCGCCGGCTCCCGCAGGTAACAGACAGAGCTCTGATCTGTGTAGAGCTCCATGAGCTCAGTGTGTGGAGGACTGTAGCTCTCGTCCACTGCTTCACTCTCAGCCACAGCACACTAGAAACGGTCCAGGCTGCTTATGAATCGCTCCGTCAGTTCAGTCATCTGATTGCCTCATCTTCAAAGCCTTGATTTGTGTATGGGAGAAGAGAGGACCTTGTGGTGCACATTCTTAATTAACTGTGTTGGGGGTAACGCTTAGAGATGGTAGAAAAAAACCTTTTTTTTTTAAATAATAATAAATAACAAATTTTGGAATCATTATGTAAAATTAGCTACAGGACCCAGAAACCCCACCCCCGAAAAAGAAATTGACCACACCATCCCCCCTGAAATTTTTTTTTACAATTCGACCGCTGCCCATAAGTATTCCTCAATCTGTTCATTATAAACAATATAACAAGAAAAAGACCCGAGGTATGTAAATGTGTAAGTATATTTTCCCTGCACAACTATATTTACATATCTGATGGCTCAATAAGTGCAGTGTATCTTTATTCCTCGAGGTGGCACTGTTTGATGCACAATGACGATGTGATGTTTCACTCATAATTACCGCAGGCATAAAACAAACGAATATCATCAGCAGAAATTGAACTGGTTTGAGCAGCTTTACTGCAGAGCAATTACTGTACGCAGTGAAATATAAATGTCACTGTTATTTGATGCTGGATGTGGTGAATAAGCTGCTAGTCATCAAAATATTGATTTTGAAGCCATTGAAAACGATAGTTTTGAGAATATGTTTGAGATCGTGAATAAGAGCCCTCTGTGCGCGCTGACGACAACAGCTCAAATCCAACCCTTCTAAGTTTCAAAAGGTAACGAAATACGCTTTATTTTATTCTTCTGTAATTGTTCTGTAAGAGTTTTTTGCTATTGCAGCAGTTAGAGATCCACCTCGCTGAAGACTCATGATTGGCGAAACATTCGTGCGTTTAAGAGTTACTTGAGCAGCCCTAGCTGGAGCAGTCTGGTCTCTGGATCCAGGTTGTTCTGTGAGGGAGTGCGTGTGGTTTTCCTGCAGATGTGAGAGTGTCTGTGGTCTGCAGGTCTCCTCCTCCGAGCCCCACGGCTCCACGCCGGATGTCTGCGGGACAGAGACCTGCTGGGAGAGGTGCTCCTGCGCCTCCGTCTCGCCCCGGACCCTTGGGGCCCCTGAACAACAGCGCTGACAGCCCACAGGTTCCCAGCCGGCCCAACCGAGCACCTCCCAGCATTCCCAGGTGAGACCTGACCTGATCTCTGCTCTTACCAGCTGCTTCTGATTGACCTATCGGTAAGCCCCGCCCCCTTAGTTACTGTTGCTCAGTGACAAACAAACAGAGCTGCTCACTGTCTTACAATGACAGCTGTCAGTGAAAACCTTCTTCCGAGGTGGTCTTCTTTCAAATGGGACTTAAATATGCCATGGAGGGATATATAAAAGGTATTAAACTAAATATGTAAAAATACAAATCACAATGCAAATGGGAGAATTATGTTACGGTCGTCACGATCGCAATGACAACATCCCGGATCAACACCGTTCATATACCGCAGAGTAAGATTAAATTAATTTACATTTGACTGGATTAATATGGAGAGGCACTCTAATATAGACCTTCGTTTATGTGTTTTTGACTTTTGACAGTTCGCTATTTAGGTTTGTACGTTAGCATGAACTCACTAACTTTAACACTAACGTTAGCTAGTTTTAGCCGGGGATACCTTGCTGAAGCACAAGATGACATTAACGTTCTGCTTGAGCAGATGAATAGTGTAACTTAATGAGAGTATGGGTGTTTTCACACCTGTAGATCGAATGCTTTGTTCCCAAACATGGATTAAAATTATTACAATGTTGCTTTTTATTCTTGGTGCGGTTCGCTTTCACACGGCAAAGTTTCTAAACGGACCAAATTTGTTAATACAAGTCACACGCGAGTAAACTGTTCTCCCATTGGTCAAAATTTCACGGTTTATTTTCCGGGATTCCACTTAGCGGTCACAGCTGTCATCTGTCAGAATGGAACAATAACAGCTTTGCGGGCTTATTGTTGGGTTTTTTGTAGCTGTCGTTAATAATAATTTATCATTTTGAGCAGGAGTCCAGGATTGATTGGGAAAACATTTTTAAAATGCACCTACTACAAAGAAGAGCAATAAGACGGCATTATAAAACAAAGTGAGCTTTAATTTTTAAATGGCAAAGACGTGCTCACCCACAGACATTCACAGGTTCATTTTGAGGTATTAGCAAAACAACAAAGCTAATGCTTTTCACGGAACGCCAAATCAGGCGATCTCGGACCGATTGTTTTGGCGCGGATCCGGGCGCGATTGCCGTGTTCACATATGCCCAAACGAACCGAGCTAGGGGGGGAAACGCGCCAGGTTCCGAAACAACAGGCCATGTGTGAAAGCACCCTATGACAACCAGAAAATGAACGTTTTCATCTTCATTGAGATTGGGGTTGAATGCTTTGGGACATTTTGCTCTGTTTTGGTTGGGTTTAGAAAATGGAATAAAATATATTCTATTGCCTATCCTCTCAGGATACCTGGAATCAGTGTTACAAGTACCCTAGGCACATCGTTTTTCCATTTTTGTTGCATAAACTCCATTAAACCGATGCGAGCTTCGGATCGTCCAATGTTTCTCTATGGCACTGAAACCTACAGATGTCTGAGTGCAGCTCCCCATGCAACTGATACTCGACTGCCATTGGCTCATCTGCGTTCCTCAGTTTGTTCTGTTTCTTCATTTTCTTCATGACAGACTGCATGATGATCAGATCAGATCTCAAACAAAAACCTCACTGCATTATTACAGTTATTACAGTTAATTTGTGTATGGGAGAAGAGAGGACCTTGTGGTGCACATTCTTAATTAACTGTGTTGGGGGTAACGCTTAGAGATGGTAGAAAAAAACCTTTTTTTTTTAAATAATAATAAATAACAAATTTTGGAATCATTATGTAAAATTAGCTACAGGACCCAGAAACCCCACCCCCGAAAAAGAAATTGACCACACCATCCCCCCTGAAATTTTTTTTTACAATTCGACCGCTGCCCATAAGTATTCCTCAATCTGTTCATTATAAACAATATAACAAGAAAAAGACCCGAGGTATGTAAATGTGTAAGTATATTTTCCCTGCACAACTATATTTACATATCTGATGGCTCAATAAGTGCAGTGTATCTTTATTCCTCGAGGTGGCACTGTTTGATGCACAATGACGATGTGATGTTTCACTCATAATTACCGCAGGCATAAAACAAACGAATATCATCAGCAGAAATTGAACTGGTTTGAGCAGCTTTACTGCAGAGCAATTACTGTACGCAGTGAAATATAAATGTCACTGTTATTTGATGCTGGATGTGGTGAATAAGCTGCTAGTCATCAAAATATTGATTTTGAAGCCATTGAAAACGATAGTTTTGAGAATATGTTTGAGATCGTGAATAAGAGCCCTCTGTGCGCGCTGACGACAACAGCTCAAATCCAACCCTTCTAAGTTTCAAAAGGTAACGAAATACGCTTTATTTTATTCTTCTGTAATTGTTCTGTAAGAGTTTTTTGCTATTGCAGCAGTTAGAGATCCACCTCGCTGAAGACTCATGATTGGCGAAACATTCGTGCGTTTAAGAGTTACTTGAGCAGCCCTAGCTGGAGCAGTCTGGTCTCTGGATCCAGGTTGTTCTGTGAGGGAGTGCGTGTGGTTTTCCTGCAGATGTGAGAGTGTCTGTGGTCTGCAGGTCTCCTCCTCCGAGCCCCACGGCTCCACGCCGGATGTCTGCGGGACAGAGACCTGCTGGGAGAGGTGCTCCTGCGCCTCCGTCTCGCCCCGGACCCTTGGGGCCCCTGAACAACAGCGCTGACAGCCCACAGGTTCCCAGCCGGCCCAACCGAGCACCTCCCAGCATTCCCAGGTGAGACCTGACCTGATCTCTGCTCTTACCAGCTGCTTCTGATTGACCTATCGGTAAGCCCCGCCCCCTTAGTTACTGTTGCTCAGTGACAAACAAACAGAGCTGCTCACTGTCTTACAATGACAGCTGTCAGTGAAAACCTTCTTCCGAGGTGGTCTTCTTTCAAATGGGACTTAAATATGCCATGGAGGGATATATAAAAGGTATTAAACTAAATATGTAAAAATACAAATCACAATGCAAATGGGAGAATTATGTTACGGTCGTCACGATCGCAATGACAACATCCCGGATCAACACCGTTCATATACCGCAGAGTAAGATTAAATTAATTTACATTTGACTAGATTAATATGGAGAGGCACTCTAATATAGACCTTCGTTTATGTGTTTTTGACTTTTGACAGTTCGCTATTTAGGTTTGTACGTTAGCATGAACTCACTAACTTTAACACTAACGTTAGCTAGTTTTAGCCGGGGATACCTTGCTGAAGCACAAGATGACATTAACGTTCTGCTTGAGCAGATGAATAGTGTAACTTAATGAGAGTATGGGTGTTTTCACACCTGTAGATCGAATGCTTTGTTCCGAAACATGGATTAAAATTATTACAATGTTGCTTTTTATTCTTGGTGCGGTTCGCTTTCACACGGCAAAGTTTCTAAACGGACCAAATTTGTTAATACAAGTCACACGCGAGTAAACTGTTCTCCCATTGGTCAAAATTTCACGGTTTATTTTCCGGGATTCCACTTAGCGGTCACAGCTGTCATCTGTCAGAATGGAACAATAACAGCTTTGCGGGCTTATTGTTGGGTTTTTTGTAGCTGTCGTTAATAATAATTTATCATTTTGAGCAGGAGTCCAGGATTGATTGGGAAAACATTTTTAAAATGCACCTACTACAAAGAAGAGCAATAAGACGGCATTATAAAACAAAGTGAGCTGGGGTTGAATGCTTTGGGACATTTTGCTCTGTTTTGGCTGGGTTTAGAAAATGGAATAAAATATATTCTATTGCCTATCCTCTCAGGATACCTGGAATCAGTGTTACAAGTACCCTAGGCACATCGTTTTTCCATTTTTGTTGCATAAACTCCATTAAACCGATGCGAGCTTCGGATCGTCCAATGTTTCTCTATGGCACTGAAACCTACAGATGTCTGAGTGCAGCTCCCCATGCAACTGATACTCGACTGCCATTGGCTCATCTGCGCTTGAGGGGAGGGGCTTACCGATAGGTCAACTGCATTACAGCATTCCCCTCTAGCACACAAACACACGCTCCAATGCTCAGCCAACGCATTGCTAGTGTGCAGTACATCTACTGGATGTAATCTCAGTCTCAGTTTGTTCTGTTTCTTCATGTCATTCCAGACAGACTGCATGATGATCAGATCAGATCTCAAACAAAAACCTCACTGCATTATTACAGTTAATGGCAAAATGAATGTTTGGACATGTAAACTGATATTTCCTACTGACACACTACAGCAAAAGATAGAAATAACTGACTTCAAGTCATTTTTTAGCTGTGTTGTAATAATTTTGGCCAGCACTGTATATAAATTAACATGCAAATGCTGTCTGACTGTCTTCTAATACTAGACTGCTTACAGATACTAATTCTGTCTTTCTGTCTCTTACCCTGCCATCCATTGCCTTCCTCGACGCTTCTGCTGCCATGAACACTTTCTTCTTCTTCTTCTTCTAACCCAGCCGGCGTCCTCCTCCTTCCCCGACGCGTCAGCTTCCCCCGTGAGCGGCGTCTGTCGTCTGCATGTGCAGTGATCTGTGTGTGTGAGAGCGGTGCTTGTGTTGTCTGTCTGTGCCTCCAGTCTCCTCCATCTTGACACAACCCTCCTGAAGCACTTCTAGCGATGCATGCTCGTTTACTGTTGACCTGCGTGTTCACATACTTGTGTCATACTATACCATAGTGTGTGAGCGGCATATATTAGTGCAAGTCTGGAAGTGTGTGTGTGTGTGGATAAATTAAAAGATAAAGGTGAGATATTTGTCTTTACATTTAAATTATTAATGTTTTTATTTCGTAATGTTGTTTGTCATTGAAAAGGCTCAGAGGAGACCTTTATTTCTTACTTGTGAACACTGGTTTTGCCTGTTTTGTTGTTACTCGCAGCAAACACAGGCATCTTTAGAAGTCATTGTCTGCAAACACTTAAATGTGCACCAAAATATGAAATATATTCATCTTCTTGAATAGCGCCACCTGCTTGCCATACTAGTTGATGACAGTTAATCCAAAATGTTGAACCAAAGTACCTGGAACTGCAGTATACAGCTGTTCTGCTGTGTAGAAACTCAACTCTATGTACTGTACATGTTTCAGATGAACACAACACCAGACAGTCATCCATTACTGTGCAATAAATCTAGCAGTAGTTTAGTGTCGTGTCTATCGCTCTGTTCGTCACATTAGTGATATTTAAGCATTGATGATGTTCATTTGCTATTGTACTCATGTTTAGTAACTCCAAGACACATAGCATTCTCCAAAAGGACTAAATAAGGAATTCAAGACACGTATGCAGGGATTCTTGGGAAACGCTGATGTGTTATTTTCACGTTCATTATTAAAAACATGAATATATGGATATATTATCTGCGGGTTTGTGAATCAGAGACTTTGTGCTTGTTCAAATGTGTCCTGCAGTATTTCATTTACTAGTCTGATGACATTGAAACTGGTTAAACTACCTGCTGTTTGCTCTCATAAACACATACGCTTCTGTTCATCAGACGGATGTTTGTGTTCTTTATGTTAGTCACTCAGACTAAAGCTAAGCACACATGAAGGATTTTAGACACTTGATGACACTAGCGTTTGTTTAAGAGCAGATCTGAGGCTCAGACGGAAGTTTGACATTATATAATACATATATAATGCATTCATATGACGGCATTGAAAACAAATGCTGGAAAATGTGCTTTAGCTGTTTATTTGCTGTTCTCAGCAGACAGTTGCATAGTTTGAATAATAGTGGAGCAAACACCAGATTTGAGCGTCTCACTCTTTCTGTGTTTCATTATGGCTTGATGTAGTGTACCTCTGTATGTATGAAATAAAATCTAGTATTATAAAATCAAATGAGAATCTGCAGTGTCTAATTCCTGTTTGTTTTTTCGTGTGGATGGTGATGTAAAGTTTCTCTCAAAAGTGCAGTTTTCTGTTTCAGGTTTTTCACAAAGAAGCTGTTCTGCTCGTTTCAGTCGCTCATAACACTTTGATTTGTGTGAGTGTGTGTGCGTGAGTGTGAGTGTGTGTGCGTGAGTGTGAGTGTGTGTGTGTGTGTGTGAGTGTGTGTGCGTGAGTGTGAGTGTGTGTGCGTGAGTGTGAGTGTGTGTGCGTGAGTGTGAGTGTGTGTGTGTGTGTGTGTTTTGAGTGTGTCACAGATGCGTGTACAGCTGCATGCAATGCTGCTGGAAACCTGCCAAGGACCTCAGTTCACAAGCTGATTCCTTCTGAGGCCACTGTTTATTTAATGCTTTCCTCATCTGTGTCTGTCAGTGTCCGTGAGTCCAGAAGACCTGCTAAAGACCAAACAGGGACCAACGCCTCCCGCATCCTGAGAGATCAGGTGATGTTTGCACACGTGACGCAGTGAACGACCTGCGAATTCATCTTAAAACTGATGAGAATTTATACCAGAATCAGCATATTGCTTTCTAGTGTACATTAGTAGCATGACCTCTGTGAAATGCTTGAGAATCCCGAGGGACAGTGAGTGTTGGTCTGATCTGAATCTGTGCAGCGACCCGTCTGTGCCCTGCAGAGAGCAGGAGATCCCCAGCTTCGAGGAGTGGACCAAGATCATGCTGGAGGTGGAGAACCAGAAGAGTGAGTCGTGTTGAGACAGGAGCTGCTCCTGCTCTCGCTGACAGTGTTTCTGTCCATCAGGTCAGATCACACACCATTCTGACGGCCTTCACGCTGCGGGGAAGAAGCTTCAGCAGACCGTTGCCAGCTACTTCTCTGTGGAGTGTGGAGCCAAGATCCTATCCTCCAGCCCCGAGGCCAAGGTTCATCAGCATGTCTGATCCCATCTGTGTTTGACACCGAGTTACTGTGAGACAGGCACTGAACTCCAGAGTAAACTACACATATTACTGTTTTTCATCAGCAGGATTTTGTCTAAATCAGGTCAATAAGAGAATCAATTAAGTGTAATGAATTTTTCAGTTTTTCCAGAGCACTTCTGTTATTCTGATGGAGAGCATGTACATGCTGAATCCCTGCAATAACAAGATCTGGTGGGCTGATTAGACTGTTTGTTTTAACGTCAGGCAAAACTATTCTGTGTGATAATTGTTGTGTGTTGCTGTGATTGATCTGAAGTGCTGCCGTTGTGTTTGCTGTGTGAAATCACTCAATAGCCTGTGTTTAGTACCTAGATAGACTTTCCAGACAGATAACAGCAGGATCTGTGTTATTCCTCATATATGAGTGTTTATGAAATGAAGAGCACTAGAGAGAGCCGTCAGCAGTGATGGAGAAGCTCTGTGGTCTTCATCGTCTCCTCATCGTGAGCTCTGTCAGCCCATTCAGCTCAAGCAGCTGGACATCGCTAACTTTGAGATCTTCTCCTCAAACCCCAAAGTCTTCCTGGTGTCCATCAGTGACAGGTCAGCACTTATGGGCTCCATTACTGACTGCCTCTGCATTTGTGACTTCATATTTCTTGTTTTGAATTCCATTACAAAATTTTATAATGCAGTTTTTGTACTTAAAGGGTTAGTTCACCCAGAAATGAAGTCCATGTTTTACTCGCCCTCGAGGCATTCTAGCTGTATATGACTTTCTTCTTTCAGATTAATCCAATCGGAGTTACATTAAAAATTATCCTTGCTCTTCTAAGCATTAGAATGGGAGTAAATGGCTGTTATTTTTCAACAGTCCAAAAGAAGTCAAATAAAGTGCATCCATCCATAATAAAGCGTGCCTCACACGGCTCCGGGGGTGAATAAGGGTCTTCTGTAGCGAATCCATGCGTTTTTGTAAGAAAAACAAACACAGAAACAAAACAGCGGCCACGAATTATAAGTGCAAAACGAGGATTTGTAAAGAAAAATGTCAGAGGATTTCGATATAAGCCAAGAGGAGACTGGTTTTCCTTTGCTAAAGTAAGGAAACTTTGCTTCCTTTGCACCTGTTAACAAACTCACGAGACTAGCATATCTCATCACCGGAACTGAGAGAAAAGTGTTTATTACGTTTGAAATATAGACATTTTCTTACAAAAACGCATGGATTCGCTACAGGAGGCCTTTATTCACCCCCCGGAGCAGTGTGAGGCATGCTTTATTATGGATGGATGTTCTTTATTTGACGTCTTTTGAAAAAAAAACACCCGCCTAGTCCCATTCTAACACTTGGAAGAGCCAGGACAGTTTTTAATATAACTCTGACTGGATTCGTCTGAAAGAAGAAAGCCATATACAGCTAGGATGCCTTGAGGGTGAGTAAATCACTTTTCATTTTCAAATTTCAATCATTTTTGGGTGAACTAACCATTTAAGCACACATCCCTCGGCTGCTGGGAGCGATCTGAAGATGTCTTGTGCTTCCAGATGCTCTTCTCTCTCTGGTGAACAACATTGCTGCCAGTGTGGACCTCCAGAGACCACCGCAGGAGCAGGTCTGACCCCACCACACCGACCCTCGTGTCATTATCAAGCATGTGTTCATCACCAGAGTGTTTCTGTCTTTCAGGAAACTCTTCCTCTGAAGGGTTAAACATGACAGAGATGGTTTTCCCTGCCGGATCCACCGGGTATGTGACTCCAGAAATCACCTGCGCTCTTCATGTGCTGAGTTCACCAGCCAAGAAAACATATTGCAGTATTTTTAGTGATGTTATTTTCAATATTTGTCTCTCTCTGAAGTGGCACCTTTCACACATTTGTTCCTCACATTTTCATGTAGCGGTTCATTCTGGGACACTTTCTGCAGGACACATGTAGGCATCTGATGGTAAAAGCCATTAAGAGTGAGTGATGATTAATGTTTGTTGGTGGACGTGTGTACTGTCATTAAGTGTGTAATGTTGCAGCTCTGAGTAAAGCTGTCAAAGATTTATTAATAATAATAATATTAATAATACATTTTATTTATACGCACCTTTCACAGCACTCATGGTCACCTTACAATCTTAACACAAATGTCATCCTCGAAAGCATCAATACTAACAATATTAAACAAACAATACTATAATAAAGCAGTCATAAACAGTCCATAAACAGATGAGATTCAGAAGTATGAAGATATCCAGTGAAATCCATAAATGAGAGCAGAACTAAAGTCTCCATAGTGTTCAAACAAACATCCTGTATAATAAAACAAGACCAGGTAATGAGGAAGATCTGAATGTACGAGCAGGAGTGTAGATATGAAGAGCATCACAGAGGTATAAAGGAGTACGATTATTGAGAGCCTTGTAGGTAAGAATCAGCATCAGTTGTGTTCAATAGAGGATTCTACAAATAATGAATGCAGCTAAATTCTGGAACAGAGGAGAGCATTGCAGTAATCGATGTGTGATGTAACCAGTGCATGTGTGAGAATGGCAGTGCTGTTCACTGTAAGAGAGGGACAAAGATGATTGATGATATGTAAATGAAAATATGCAGAACGAGTTATTAACATCAATAAGGTGATATCAAGGAGAATATCCAGACTCTTAACCTGTGAGGAAGCAGAAACTATGGATCGATAGTCACAGAAAAACTGTATTAACTTCATAAAGCCTATTTGTATTTTTGAATTTTGCAATTGGAGCTTGGCGAGTGAAAATTTTGGAGCCTAGACCATATTACATATATATTATGTTAATGCACCATATTAAAGCTAATTCACACGGCACAGAGCGACTGATCCGGCTAGAGATGTAAGGTTATGAAAACTTCTTGGCACCATAATAGTGACCTAAATGAGCACCGTTATCAGTATTATCATAGTATTGTTAAAATGTGCTGGAAACGTTCAAAAAGTTTGGACGTCTGGATTTTAAATGACAACATGACTGACAACAGTTCATCTAATAACATGTACGAAATGTTCAAATATAACTTTTAAAAGATTTCATATAATGGTAAACCTCACATTTCAGCCATTAAATGAAGAAAAGGGTTAAGTCAAAAGGATAACTGATTAAAAAATGATTATATGTAATTTACCTGCTCCGTAAATAATTCTAGATACCTTATCCGAATTGTTTAAATGTGTAGAATCCACATAAGCTTGTTTTTCATAAATTACAGCAGAGCATGCAGATTCGGTCCATTTTTAGTCCAGACAGAAACTGCACACAGACTGAATGTGAATGTAAGTGTCTCTCTGACAGCAGGTGGCGCTGATGGAGCAGCAGAATTACAGCTGTAACCTCCGTGCACAAAGCAGCATTGCGATTAAAACACTGCTTTATTAGGTATTACATGGAGCGAAGATGAAAACAAAATGCCATCGAATCTTTTCTGAAGACAGTCAGAACCTTCAGATGTACATTCATATAATTTATTCATTTGTATAATTCTCTTAGTACTCTTTTAAAACCTCCCAGCTTTCCGCCATGTTTTCACACAAAACGAAACTACTCTTGACACCGTTACTTAAACTTAAGCTTTATGCTGGACGGTATTTATTTATCCTAAATTGTTCAAATGGCGGTAATGAATACGGTTTTGAAGATAGTTAAAATATGAAACGGTAATAATAACCATGGGGAATTTTATCATGATTTATCATCAATCTGGTGATCGTTCTATTCCTAGATCCGGCAGAACCTGATGGCCGTGTCTGTTGTGTCTGTGTGGTGTGAATTGGCCTGTATGTGGACTGCAGCGTCTTATTCTGCATTTTCTCCACTCAGGCCGGTGACTGTGGCGGTGGATCAGCTCGATGTCATTGCGATTACAGAAACCGGCAGCTTTACTGAAGAGATGGCAGCGACACGCACACCGTCGCTCTCAGACGTCACTGGAGACGCTCCGGTCCAAACTGTGCCTGACGTGGAGCAGATAGTCATGCTGCTGCCCGACGCCGAGGACGAACCGGATCAGTCCTCTGGAGGAAACCTGAAGCAGATCAGCAGAAGAGTCGTGAGAATGAAAACACAGAGCGCTCTGAATCTGCCAGCTCCCATTCACACAGAGTCTCGCTTCAGGAGTACCTTCTGCAGCGCTGCTCCTCTCCAGACGTTCTTCAGACGAGGAAGACCCCGTCTATAACCACAGTCACAGAGGAGCCGCAGACTCTCCGGCACTCTCCCTCGAGATCCAGAAGATCTGGCTCCCAGTCTGACCTCAGATCTGCTCCGGCTGGTTTCTGCGGACTCTCTGTCCTCCAGAGCGACGCAGCCCATCGAGCTGATGTGTGCGTCTGCCAGCGAGTGCCTCTCAGCGAGCGCTGACCGTCTGAGCGAGAAGCCGGATCTCACGACCGCCTCTGCTGCACAGACTGGAGAAGATCTGGTCTCATCGGAGCAGGCCAGCCTTGACAATGACATTCCAGCTCCTGCTGTTCCCATGAACTCAGCAGACAAGTCTCAGCTCTCCTCCATATCTGCTCTTGAGGATGAAGCGGTCAGCGGCGGATCCCTGACCCCGGCTCAAGCCGTTCATCCTTCAGACGGGCTCTCAAGCTTAGCGGAGTCCAGAAACAAGGAGCTCTTCGATGATGAAAGCAGCGCTCATATTGAGCAGATCTACACAGAAACGCAGAACTCCAGCGACACACCCATGCACGACTCCAATCAGAAAGAGTCTGTTTTCATGAGGCTCAATAAATGCATCAAAGTCCTGGAGATGAACATGTCGCTCAGCGGACGCTACCTGGAGCAACTGAGCCAAAGGTGAGTCTCGCTGGATCCATTACAGGGTTATTTGCACAAAAAACAGCTGTGTATTTGCAAATATGAAAGTTTTCCACTGTCATGCTTAAAGCACTCTTTATAGGGGCCAAACACAAGTATTCTTCTTCTGCTGTTGAGTCTATGGCAGCCCATAGAACCACTTTAGGCACAGTTATGAGATTTGGTGCACAGATAGAGGACAGTCTCAATATTAACCACAGCGAATTTGGAGTCTTTAACTCAAAGCCTAATGCTTGTGCCTTCTTAAACGTAAAGGCTAAAAACAAAAATTTATTTTCCCTCTGATTCCTTGGCTCATGCCAAGACGATTGAACTATCTATTTGTCTGCTTGTCCGATCTTCACCAAATTCCACACACCATCATCAGACGATCCTGGCAAAAAGTTATTAAAAGCTTTTTAGTATCTCAAACCATTTTCATATAATTCATTGCAAAATTTATTCGTATAATGCCACTCTGGATCTGAGGCTGTATCTCTGCAACACTTTGGCATATTGACACCAAACTTTATGCGTGTCATTGTCACCCAACACCAACCACACCACATCAATTTGGTACCAGCGCCACCTATTGCTCAGAAGTGATAAGCAGTGTTGGGAGTAACGCATTACAAAAGTAATAATATCAATTACTTTGTCACATTACAAGTGATTGTATTTACAGATTGTCAGCCATTTTGCTTAAAATCTTCATCAAATGTCTGTAATTACTATTTTGTCTTCAGATGGTCTGATGCTGCTACTCATTTGCCTCCGATGTTCTTGGCCCC